AACTTCAAGTTGGCGGCGGTGCTAAGCAAGTGAGGGTGAAAAACGTAAAACCGCCTAAGCCGGGTTAAGCACATGTAGCACCCTGACTCTTCCGGCACTGACTCAAGAACTCTTATCGGGCTCCCTTAAAGAGCCGATGACACCAAGACTCCGCAAAGGGCGGACTCTTTGAGTATCTATGATACAGCTTGCAAGCTTCACACTTCATTACCTGAAGGTTGTCTTGTTCAAGCAAAAACACATGATCCGTGTGGCTCGTTCACGGCTCCTCCCATCACATCCTGAAAGTACTGTCGCTGTCGTCCCAAATCTCCCTGCCATCCGCCTGTTCAGCTGGATCAACCACCACCTGTGGATGCTAGGACTGGTCCTAGAAAAGACTGAGGTGTGCTAGGTTGGTTTCAGCCTGCGCAGGCTTGTACAGAACCCAGTCGATTATTCGCGGTCGTGGACTTTAACTTTATGGCATTGCTTGGACTCTACTTGAGCTTTGTTTTGCCGAGACAAGACTGGATCTAGCAAGAATTGCATCCACCCACTGCTTGCCTCCTCAAAGTTGACTGGGCTCTCCTGGATGGAAGACGCCTCTGGAGCAATCTCCGAAGCGGCCGTTGAGCGCCAGTCATGTAGCCGAGCTAGGAGAGCTCGAGTGACCAGCCCAATGATGGCTCCGGCGACCACTGCTATCAAGATGAATGCAGCAAAGCCGAGTGGCGACAAGCGAACCTCGTCGCTCCCACCATCCCGGTCTCCAGAGAGCCTGGAGAACGACACTGACCCCTGACTGTAAAAAAAACACCGAAGAACTGACGCAAAAACAGCTCGAATTAAAGCATTCGTAGGAGCTCCGAAGACGCCAGAGTAGAGGTTGCTGTCACCGTGGAGCTGGAGGATGCCGTCGCAGTGAAGGAAGTGGATGTCAGGGACATGGTGGTCGTGGCAGTTGTAGTCGTGGTGTCCGTCGTCGAGGACAGAGTGGAGCTTGACGTGGCAGTTATTGTGGAGCTGGATGTCGAGGATACCGTGGAGGATGTGGAGGCTGATGTGGATGTCGTGGTGCCCGTGACAGATGTCACAGTCCCAGTAATGGTGGTTGACGTCACAGTCACTGTTGAGGAGGTTGCCGTGATTGTGCTGGTGCCCGTCACACTGAAGGTAGTGGACGTCGAGGACAATGTAGAGGAGGTCGACGTGGATGTCCTGGTGTTTGTCAACGATGTCACGGTCACCGTGAAGGAGGTGGATGTCAAGGTCACTGTGACGGAGGTGGATGTGGTCGTGACCGTGGAGGAGGCTGATGTTGTAGTCGTGGTAGGGCACAGCTCACCCGCCTGAGCGGTCTCATCGGCCGACACTCCCCATGCGACCACACTACCATCGGACTTCACCGCCGCGAAGCTATCTCCTGCACTTCCATAGATCACATCCACTGAGGTCAACTCACTGGCCACCGCGGAGGAGTCCCCACCCGTCAGACCCCAGGTGACCACGGAACCATCGAGCTTCTTGGCAGCGAAGGACTGCCCCGAAGCAGTGATCTCGTCCACTGAAGTCAAGTCACTGGCCACACTGGAGGAGTCCCCACCTCTCGAATCCCCCCAGGCAACAACAGTGCCATCGAGCTTCTTTGCCGCGAAGGCCGCTTCAGTTGCATAGATCGCATCAACTGACGTTAACTCGCTTGCCACGGCGGAGGAGTCCCCGCCGCCTCTGGCTCCCTCACCAGCACTTGGCCAGGTGACCACCGTACCGTCGAGCTTTTTGGCAGCGAAGGCTACCAAATTCGAATAGATCACATCAACTGACGTCAAGTTGCTCGCTATGTCGCTGCAGTCGCCGCCGTACTCCCAGTACCCCCAGCAAACCACGGTGCCGTCGACCTTCTTGGCAGCGAAAGCACCGATAGTCGAATGGATCACATCAACTGACGTCAACTGACTAGCCACCGCAGAGGAGTCCCCACCAAAGGGTGAGGCACCCCAGCTGACGATGGAACCATCGAGTTTCACAGCGGCAAAGGCATATCGGGCCCCATAGATCACATCCACGGAGGTCAACTGATGGGCCACCGCAGAGGAGTCCCCTCCTCTGTTTGCTTTTCCCCAAGTGACGACAGTGCCATCGAGGTTCTTTGCGGCGAAGGCCTCAATGTTTGAGTAGATCACATCAACTGATGTCAAGTTGACGGCGGAGGAATCTCCGCCACAGCACGGCGAACCCCAGGTGACCACGGAAACATCGAGCTTCTTGGCGGCAAAAGCCCCTGCATTCGCATAGATCACATCAACTGAAGTCAAGTCACTGGCCACACTGGAGGAGTCCCCACCTGAGCCGGGGTGCCCCCAGGTAACAACAGTGCCATCGAGCTTCTTTGCGGCGAAGGCCCAATCTGTCGAGTAGATCATGTCGACACCAGAAGTCAAGTTTCCGGCCACACTGGAGGAGTCCGCCCCGGACAGAGGATTACCCCAAGTGGCGACCGAACCGTCGAACTTCTTGACGGCCCACGCATTTAGCTTAGTCGAGAAAAACTCCGTGCAGGCTGCCTCTGCATCTGCAGCGAAAGCCAGCAGGAGTGCCAGAACTGCAGCCATGCGGGTTACAACCGGATATGCGAGCACCGGCTGAACCAAACTCCGACAGTGAAACTTGGTTTGAGAAGCCAAAGACATGGAGGTGCTCCCTTCAGGTGCGGCTCTAAGTCTAGAGATTACTGGTCTAGGTGTCGGTCTTCCGGAACTTGCAGACACATGCGCGGACTCAGAAAGGGTTTGTGGGGCTCTTCGAAGGTCCGCGCACTCGAACACTCGGGGATTGTGCGCTAAAGTAGTTGTGAGTGCCATGCTTGGTGCCTCCAACCTTCCCAGCCGGGAAGCCCTTGGGGTCGCGGCTTTCGGAGACCCGCAGCTGCAGGCTTTAGCTGCCAAACGCGGCATCTATGCATCTGAGGCATTGTGGAAAGGCCAGGGTGTCAAATGGCTATGGCCTAGAAACAAAGTGAATGTCAAGGCTGTTGGTGGGCTGGGGTAAAATGCAAGACGAGCTCCAGGTTTCAGGTTTGGGGTGGTTTCGAGCTCCTGTAAGGTCTGCTTTTGCCAAAAAATAACAATTTCCTGCACACTGGCGTCTTTCAGGAGCACCGCTCCCTTCAAGATGTGCAACACAGGCCTTCGGAACCGCTTCGCAAAACCTTCGCTGGAGAAGAGAGCCTCCAGGAACTGCGCGGGTGGTGGACGCCTTCTTTCCTGAGTATCCCAAGTCGGCATGGCTCTCACGCAGGTCACATGATTCCCGTGAGCTATGTCAGGAGCAACAAACCAAGGTGGAAACCGTTTCAATGAATTTCCTGAGAAGGGGGTTCTCCAGAAGGGGACAGGCATAAACATCGCAAGGATGAATGTGGTCAGCATACCGGCATGGCATGCCAGGGTGTGTGTGCGTGCGCGCGACCTGTTAAAGTGTTTCCAGATTCCAGGCGGTGTGCATGCGAATGTGCAGAAAGGCCTTGCTCGATACTTCGAACTGATCTGAGCGCCGGGCTGACTCGAAAACAGATGCCCGCAGCATACTGCATTGCCCTACAGGAAGGCCAATGAGAAGCTTCCAACCATGAAACTCCTGGCCGCGCTGAGAGCATCACGTGCCGGAAAAAGCAGCAAGCTACGGAGCCGGAAAGCTAGTCTGAGCTGATTCAGTCGGTCATCCAACGACATGTCCAGGTCATCCTCCTACATTTGCCTCTCCAAGTGCGTTATGTGAAGCAGATCTGAGCACTCACCCCTGCCTCTCCTGGCAACGACTCTATGCTCCCTGTTGCCAACCTGCCCAGCACCTTCCCTCGGCCACCACCGGCGTCTTTGGCACCCAATGTCCACGCGTGGTGAGACGGAGCTTTTCTGGCACCTCTCTGAATTCCCGAAATGAGGGAGGCTCCCCCTGCGAATTTCGGCATGGAACGGTTTCCGTTTCCATCCCTGGGCATGGATGGCGTGTTTAGTCGGCTGCCACTGAGACACCAGGATTACAACGCCACAGCATCCAACAGTGCGATAGGTTTGGTGTTTTCAGGTGTTTTGTGGGCTGAAGGCTTTGACATGCATAAGCACTGGAAGCCCTGTCAACGGCAAGCGCATCCTGGCTACTCGCGGCATAAAGAGTGAAACAGCCTCCGTTGCTCTGTGGGAAGGCGCAGCCTTAGCTTTTGCGTGCAGCAGAGTCCCTCGTGGGGCTGGTCCAGTGCAGACAGCGCAGATTCCACAAGTTGATCCACGACTCCAATATCAGCTCAAGTTTACCAGGGATATCAATACATGATGGCGTCCTGATTGGCAATTCAGCCAAATCCAGAACAAAGGCATCCGCGCCCGCGCCCGCGCGTCGCTAGTGTTGCCGAGCTGCTGCGCTGCAAATGCCTGTGCACGTCGGGTAGGGTGCTTTTTCAGTTCTACACTCATATCACATGAATTCGACCAGGCTTATGCGAGCCAGCATCGCTCATGGCAATGTGTTCAACTCTCCGAATGTCAATCGTTGTTCTTGCAGTCACCCTGCTACTTGACCCTGCTGCTTCACTCTCCAAGTTGAATGAGCCGCAGCCCAGCGGGCAACCCCTGAATAAATCATGAATGCAAGACAAGACACTTTGAACGAAGTGCAAAAATGCGGTGCAGCAAACGAGGTCTTAAGACAACAGCATCAGCACAACTTGGAGATCAACGTCAATTGCTAAAGAGAAGGACCAGGGTCTGGACAAGTGACCTACTCCTATCTGTAGCATCCAGGCATAGCCAGATGCAAGAACGGCAGCTTGCCGGCATGTGCGCGTTCAGCGGCTGACATGTCTGAATTTCGGTGAGCATGATATTGTGATATGAAACTAAGTGTGCGCCAGTTCCATTGCATGAGATGGCTCAAGCATCAAGCGCCTACTTGTTGTCGTTCTGACAGCCGCTCCGAGCGAAACAACGCAAAGTGCCTTCACCTGCACATCGACCGGGCGTCTACTCGTAGTAGCACCCGAAGACCATGCCTCGGGGCGGTCAGGGAAATTCGTAGTGGGGCCTGCAGGGCCGACGTTCTTGAGTTCTGAGCCTCTGGTCGCATGGCCAGGCCGCAATGTTACCGTTGGTCCGCGAAGTGGAGACACAGTCGAAAACTCAACAGAATCTCTTACAACATCAGCGGAGGTCGCCTCGTTGCAGTCCTAGGCCCTAGAACTGGACCTGCCGAGCTTCACGTGCTGCAGCTGCCGAATCGGCGTAGGTCCCGTGCCGACGGCGAAGAGCGACTGGTTCTCAAAGGTATATGACGCCCAGTTGTCCGAGTTCACCTGGTGCAAAACGACAACATCTCCTGGTGGGATCTTTTGTTTGATTCCTTCAGCCCTTTCTCATTATCTCGGCTGCCGGCATCCCACAGGCACTTCGAAGCCACGCGAATACCCTGAGACCGAGACCCAGGATGCAACTCAGAATGGTCGGAGAGAAGCAAGAACGCAGGGCTGTCACTCACACGGCTCTAGATGCAGATGTCCGCGCCCGCCTGCGAGGCTTGTTCGCCGATGACTACCTGAAAGCTTGCGGCTCGTGGGGGAGATGGGCAAGGCTCTCTGTGCGGCATTGAGGGGCCCCTGGTTCGCAGTAAGGTGCTCTTGGGCCTATCCTTCCAAAGCGCGGACGGAGGCCTTTGAAACTTGGGTACCCCCCCCGACCACTTTATCGCAGAGGTGGAGAATTGCAGTGCAGGGTGCCTGCACGATGATCTTGTAGCGGGGGATGTTCAGATCTTGCTTGACTGAGGCCTGTCAAGCGAGGGCTTTCATGCCAAGTTCGTGGGACACGGACGGATGAGGCCTTGATCTCGTTGCTCAAATCCAATGTCCAGGCTTTGGCATCCTCTACGGCATACTCCTTGTCCTTTCGGTAGGCTCGCAGGTGAGGCATGTGTCTGACGCTGCTTAACCTGTGTGTCCATGCAGCCACGAGATTTTGGAGTTTCAACTCTGCATGCTAGATGGACTTATGGCTGGTCCCGTACAGGTTGGAGAAGCCCGGATGGACGACTCCGACTTGAACCCACCCTAGCACTTGCCAGGAGTTGTGAAACCGCGGCCAGCCGCCAGCACGTGTTAAGTTCGACTGGATGTACGTGGCCCTTGGCCATGAATGCTTCGTCCGGTGTTCCACCCTGTGGGGTCCTGCAGGTAGCTTTCCATGACGTTCTTGATGACTGCCGTGACTTTCGACGGCAGCATCTTCTCGTCATCCTGGCTTCTGGCACATTGCCCGATGCGTGGGATGGGGAGGGGCGGCACGGGATGGTGCTGGCCTTGGGGGCCATGATGTAGGTGTTCTCCCAGACATGGACTTGATGCTGCTCCCCCATGGCTGCGAACCTTGGCAAAGTCAGCTTGCGAGAAAAACCAAGCGAACATTGTCAAAGGTGTCTGCATTTTACCCGGTCCCTTGCCATTCCTCTCTCAGCTCTGAGCTTCTCCGATGGCTCCTTGGCAAATCTGGTTTTTGTTGAAGACGCCGGGGGCCTCGGAAGCCCCTTTCCTAGCCCTGCTGTGAGCCGAGAGTTGCGGGCACGTCTCGCGCTGGTCCTCGCCTGCACGTCGCCCACGCAGGGTATTTCTATGGCGGAGGAGACAAGGAGCAGAAAAAGTCTTCCAACAAAAATGCAAAGAAAGAACGTCTTGGCCCAGGCACTTTCTTCGTTTTTGTTGGTCCGAAAGCTCGCGGAAATGTTTCGGGGGGCCCGGCTGGGGGGCTCCAGAGTCGGCATCTTTCAACATCCGGCGCCCGGCCCGGCTCAGGGGGTGAGATCCAGACAGAACCTGCCCATTCTAAGAAGAGACTCGCAAAGACTCGCCAGAGTTCCCTATAGAGCTCCTACACTCGATCCTCCTATTTGCTCCACTGCTCATGCTTTGCGGCTTTCTCAAGTGCGCTTCAGGCTCACTGGCAGGTGCACCGCTAGCCGATTGAGGTCCCGCAGCAAAGAGATGCCTGCCACGTCCTTCGACATCTACTCGTAATAGCATCCGAACACCAGACCTCCAGGCGATTCATGCCGGATTAGCATCGCTACCTGTCTGCTCATGCGTGCCATTCCACTCGGGTCAGAGTTAAGTTGGAAAGCCATTCAAAGGCTTAGGTCTGCAGGCTTCTCAGCCCCGTGCCGACTGCGAAAAGCGACTGGTTCTCGAACGTGTATGACGCCCAGTTGTCCGAGTTCACCTAGCACGAAACTGCGCGAAGTCCTAGTGGATTTCTGGTCTCAGCATGTGCTGCTAAACTTGTCCCGCTGTCTCAGCTGCCGGCATCCCACAGGCACTTCGAAGCCACACGAATACCCTGGGAAAGCGCTGGACTCGATTCGAGGAATGGCTGAGACCCAGGATGCAACTCGAACCGGACAACCAAGGCAAGGATGCTGCCCCAAACAACGACGGCCAGGAACGATCAAGTCGTACGGGGAACGTGGCACTGCAGTGACTTGCAGGTGGACATGGGGGGATTACCGAAAAGAAGCGGATGGTTATGGCAGGGATCCTGCCTGATGCCTACCTAAACTCTTGTCCACGTAGAGTCTTTCTTCTTTCTTCCCTGAAGCTTTCAGCTAATCTTTTTCAAAGACCGGTTGCCTGCGAGGCTTGCTCACCGATGACGACCTGCAAAGACGATTTTTCAGCTTCCGTTACATATACATATACATACAGCATGCACATACAGATGCATTCACACATATATGTTTATATGTATACTAATATAGTGATTGATATCTAGAGAGAGCAGCTTAGCTTAGAGGCTCATGGGGTTTCAGAGTTCGCTGTTTCCGGAATGTGGTCGGTTCTTCTACTGGATTTCGGGTTTTGTTTAGGGTTTGGCTTAGCATTTCTTCCACTGGGTCTGCGTTGCTACAGCAGTAACATATAGCTGTGTCGAGAGGGTTTCTGGCGGCGTGTTTTGGCCTACCTTCTTCCAACCCCTGGCTGAAAACTTCCCTCGCAACACAGCATACTTGAGCGGAGGCGTCGTCAAGTGTTTTTATTCAGAGAAGGTCCTCAGCAGTCAAGAATGCAGCAGGTTTCTAATTCTAGAGAGTACAAGGTGCAGCGAAAAGCAGCGCAGGTTTAAGGCAAACCCTTGCGTTAAACCACGGGGTTGTGCTGTGCAGGCCCGAAGCTCCTTGTTCGGCCAAACCGCCCAAGCCCTGCACGAAACGCAAAGGAGCCGGAACCAAGCAAAACCCAGGTAAGGGCTGAGGGTTAGGGTTTTCTTGTTCTTGGGGTGTAGGACCGTAGGATTTTAGCGCTTACTGAGAGGAACCCAGGAGCCTTTAGCATGATTGCAGCCTCAAGCCGTATGGAGCCATATGGATGAAGAGTGTGCAGAAATCTCTCGGAAATTCCGGAGTTCCTCTTAGGTCTTAGTTGTCGCTCAGCGGGGCAATGTCGTGGTTTTTGCGGGGTACCCGAGTGTTAAGAAATACCTGTGCGAAGGCGACATTGTCCACCGTGAAGGTGCCTGCACGATGATCTTGTAGCGGGGGATGTTCAAGTCTTGCTTGACCGAGGCCTGACGAAAGAGTCCCGCACGGTCGGTGCAGGGTACTTTCACTCGGAGCCCGGGCTGCTACGGACCTACAAGACACAAGCGCGTGTTGCTTGCATCCTGTGCATTCTGCACTGAGGCTAACCTTCTCGACACCTGTGAACCAGAGAGGGGCACGCGGACAAGACACGGCACTGCAAGTGGGGCCTTGATCTCGTTGCTCAAATCCAATGTCCAAGCTTTTGCGTCCTCTACGGCGTACTCCTTGTCCTGTGAACTCCCACAAATCATCGCTACTCGGCTCCCAGGTGATGTAGCAGCTGTCAGCGCTCGAGCGGTGGGACGCAGAAAGCATAACTTGGACCTTCCAAGGACATGCCGGGCATGCATTGTCTTATCCTGCCAGGGCTCCAGCTCTTGTTCCACTCTGTGGGGTCCTGCAGGTAGCTTTCC